CAGCCACTGCAGCCTTGACCTGCTAGGCTCAGATGATCCTTCAGCCTCAGCCTTCCAAGTGACTGGAACTACAGGCTAATGCCACCATGCCCACTTAATTTTTTGATTTATTGTAAAGATGAGGTCTTGTCAAGTTGCCAGCGCTGATCTCGAACCTGTGAGCTCAGGCAATCTTCTCACCTCAGCCTCCCAAAGAGCTGGGATTATAGGCGTGAGTCACCATGCCCGGCCGATTTTGTTCTTTATGGCTGCATAATACTCCATCACGTATACAAACCACATCTTCTTTATCCAGTCCACTTTTGATGGGCATCTTGGTTCGCTATTGTGAATAGTGCAGCAATAAACGTGTGTGCAGGTGTCTTTTTGTAGAAAAATTAATGCTCTTCCAGGTATATTCCCAGGAGGGGGACTGCCTGATAGTACAGGAGGTCAATTTTTAGTTCTTTTAGGAATTGTCACACTGCTTTCCATAGAGGTTGAACTAGCTTACATTCCCACCAACAGTGTAGAAGTGTTCCCTTTTCTCCTCAGCCACACCAGCACCTGTTGTTTTTTGACTTAAAGATAGCCATCCTTACTGGAGTTAGGTGGTATCTCACTGTGGTTTTGATTTGCATTTCTTTGATGATTAATGAGGCTGAACAGTTTTTCTTTTTTTTTGAGCTGGAGTCTCACTCTGTCGCCCAGACTGGAGTGCAGTGGCCGCTCCTGGCCACCACAGCCTTGACCTGCTGGGCTCCGGCAATCCTTCCGCCTCAGCCTTCCGAGTAGCTGGAACTACAGGCGCGTGCTACTATGCACGGCTGATTTTTTTATTTATTGTAGAGATGAGGTCTCGCCAAGTTGCCCAGGCGGGTCTCGAACCCGTGGGCTTGGTCAATTCACTCACCTCAGCCTCCCAAGGCGCAGGATTACAGGCTGAGCCACCAAGCCCGGCTTTTTTTTTTTTTTTTTTGAGTCAGTCTCACCGTCACCCAAGCTGGCATACAGTGGCACACTCACAGTCACCACAGCCTTGACCTGCTGGACTCTGGTGATCCTTCTACCTCAGCCTTCCACGTAGCTGGAACTACAGGCAAGCACCACCACGTCAGCTAATTTTTTGATTTACTGTAGAGATGAGGTCTTGCCAAGTTGCCCAGGCTGGTCTCGAACCCACAGGCTCAGGCAATCCTCTCACCTCATCTTGGGAATATAGGCGTGAGCTACTGCACCCAGCCTGAACAGTTTTTCATGTGTCTGTTGGTTGCTTGCATGTCAACTTTTGAGAAGTGTCTGTTCATAACCTTTGCCCACTTTTTAATGGAGTTTTTTTTCCCATTTCACTTTTCTTATAGATCCTGGGTGTTAGGCTTTTGTCAGACGCATAATTTGCAAATATTTTCCCCCAATCTGTGGGTTGTCTCTACTCTCTTGATGGTATCTTTTGCTGTGCAAAAGCTTTTCAGTTAGATGAGGTCCCACTATCTTTGCTTTTATGGCATTCACTTTTGGGGACTTGGCCAAGAATCTGTTGTCTACTCCGGTGTGTAAGGGTGTTTCCTACGTTATTTTCTAGGATTATTATAGTTTGAAGTTTCATGTTTAGGTATTTGATGCATTTTGAGTTAATTTTTGTGTATGTTGATAGGTAGGAGTTCCGATTCATTCTTCTGCATTTGGTCAGCCAGTTTTCCCAGCACCATTTGCTAAATGTGGTCTCCTTACCTTAAATAAATTTATAACATATTTTCTGGAAATTTGAGTTGCCATTATGATCACTGATTATATAATTCCAAGCCATAATATACACTTTTATATCCCTCCTGTGTCTACATATTTTAACTGGAGAAAACACAGATTTAACTCAGTAACTGCAATACAATAACTGCTGAATAAACAAAGAGAGTAGTATTTCCAAAGCTCTAATAAAATGCTCATTCTTCACACTTTGTTCAATAAAAGGGCTATCTTATATACTTAGATGTGTTTGTGGGCAATCATCTATTTTCATCAAGATGTAAATGAATAATTTGATAATAAATTTACCACAGAAAATAGTAAACTGAACTAAAGAAACAGCTTCATTGGTCTATTGTATTTTTGAGGTCTAATTTCATGTTTGGACTATAATCATATTAAAAATGTGATAAGCCTCACATTAGATTCCCATTAGAAAACATCAAGGAAAATAAGCTGCTGTGCCCTTATGGAGTCTGCCATGGCTTGCCCTTGCCTGTTTCATACAGCAAGACTAAGTGACCCGGTCTAGTGAGCAAGGCCTTCCACTGGGATTCTGAAGGCAGCAGTTTGCAAGTATTTGTGAATGCCCCCTGTTGATGCAGTAAGAGCCAGACCACCTCTGTTGTAGCACAGCATAACACCTACCCCATATATGAGGTTAAAACATTCCTTTGGCATAACCCAGTGACCTCCTATTCCTTAGGCCCAATGGGCCAGCAGTTTAAGATGCTGGCTTTACACAAGATAAGGACATAAGTAACCTCCCTGGTGATCAAACTGTTTTTTTGAGTAGGAATCTCACTCTGCTGCCCAGACAGGAGTGCAGTGGCACGCCCATGGCCACCACAGTCTCAACCTGCTGGGTTCTGGTGATCCTTCCTCTTCAGCCTTACAAGTAACTGGAACTACAGGCACGTGCCACCATGTCTGGCTCATTTTTTGATTTATTGTAGAGACAAGGTCTCGCCAAGTTGCCCAGGCTAGCCTCGAACCCATGGGTTCAGGCAATCCTTTCGTCTCTGCCTCCCAAAGTGCTGGGATTATAGGTGTGAGCCACACATACCCGGCAAACTTTTTTTACTTGGCATAAACTGCTAAGCCAAAAGAGTCCCTTTTTTGGGGACAGGGCACCAGGGTCTCTGTCACCCAAACTAGAGAGCAGTGGCATAATCTCAGTTTACCACAGCCTTGACCTTCTGGGTTTAGGTGATCCTTCCGCCTCAGCCTTCTGAGTAGCTGGAACTTACGGCACTCGTCACCATTCCCAGATTAATTTTTTTTGGTAGAGATGAGGTCTCACCATGTTTGCCAGACCGGTCTCCAACTCCTGGGCTCAGGCAGTCTTCCCTCCTCCACCTCCCAGAGCGCTGGGATTACAGGCGTGAGTCACTGAACCTGGCCCAGAGTCCCATTCTAAAAGACCTTTTAAAGTATCAGGAGGGTCAACCACAAATTTTTCAGTTAAAGATTTCCACATAGCACTACAGTTAGGATAATTAACAGAATCAGCAAGCTTATCATTCATATATCAAGCATTATATTTCACATTAAGCAAATTTAATTTTATCAAATGTCCTTTAATTTCATGGACAATATGATACATATTGTATAAGAAGCACACAACAGTTTTGCAGTACAATTTCAAATTGAATACAAGTTGGAATACAGAGGTTGAACACTGGTGTACTGACATTATTTCTGAATTTTGGATAAACTGCATACAAAATTTACAATTCAAATATTAGCCAATCTGAAAACTTTCTTTCCATAATATAAAAATGATATATTGCGATGCAAAAATTTTTTTACTAAACAACTATATAAACATTTAAAATAATCATTAAAAACTCAACATTAGAATTTATAAAGATTAGCTATAAAAATATATTGGCGGTCACTTTTCTTATAAAGGTACCTTTCGCTCCATTACAAAATAGTCTCTAACATAAAACTGCCTTAACAACTGTACTATTTTAGAATCTCATTCTAAAACAAGTTACATTAAATTGATTATAAAATCTCCTTGGAAAAACTTTGGTATGCATCTTAGAAGTTTTTCTAAAAATAACATTTGAAGGGCCTGTAAACATTCCATTCTATTAAAGCACAATAGAATAAGTAATGGATATCCAACTGCATACAGAATGTAGAATCAAAAAACAATTATACATTTGTAGAAAATCACCATTACCAGGGTAAGTAAAAGTCACACCATTTAAAAGTGTCAAACTTTTAAACAGTTCTCTTTCCATTCTGATAAAAAAAAGTTATACAATTTCCATATTTCATTCATGTACCTTGGATGCCTTTTAGGGCAGGACTTCAAAAATAATTAACCCAGTCTCGAAAGTCCTCTCAATTCCAACAAACTAACTTAAAAGACTTGACAATAAAACAAGTATACATAATCAGAGCACATAATTTATATATTTAGCAACGTATTAAGTTTTCTTTTACATTTGTAATTTAGAATTTACTGGCAGAAACAAAATACACACACACACACATATATATAACTAAAAAAGGTTAAATTTCAGAAAACAGAAATGCAAACCTATAGGGTAAACAGATTTATTTTTTAAAATCTGATTTATCAAATTTCATCTTATCTGTCATCTTGGATTGACAGCTATTATTTAGAAAATTCAAACTGCCACGAGTCCACATCTCACTTCTTGAATATATTCAATTATAACAAGGCTTCCAGTTGTGCCAATATTTCCTCGAGGTCATGTTCCGCTGTGTCATGTCACTGGAATCTTGCATAAGATATTTATCCTTGAGTTGCAAAAGCCTAAATAAAAAGCTTCACTTTTGACCTTTTAACTTACAAAACGCCACCACAAAGAAATCCATTTAATTTTTATGCAAGTTCACAAAAATATTTTCTTTTTTAAGAATCAAACACTTTTATTGGAATATAGATCCTTCAAAGTTTTTAACTCTTCTATTAGAGTTTTATTTTGGTTTTCCAGGACTGCAACTCGATTTTCCAGGCATTTCACATATTCTTTCTTCTTTCTGCGACATTCTCGAGCAGCTTCTCTAAATATAAGCATGAAAAACAATGTTAGAAAAAACTTCACGTTCTTTCAATGGTAAATGCACTTCAGTAATTTTCCCTGGCCATCGCTCTTCCCTATCATTTCGAAAATTAAGGTATCCTCTACAAACAGCAAATACTTAGATTGGAAGAGTATGTTCAGTCTGTTTTGACAAAGGTATAAACCTGTACAACTCACATCTCTATCAAGACACACAATCTTCCACATCCCCAGAAAGTTCCTGCATACCCTTCCTGGTCAGGCTTCTTCCAACGACTGCTGTGCTGTTCTGATCTGTATCACCAAAGATTAGTTTTTCCTATTCTGAAACTTCATACAGCAAGTATGAGACAGTATGTACGCTGTGTCTGGTGTCCTATACTGCAGCACCTTTCTGAGGTTCATCCATGCTGCTCGAGGCAGGTTGTTCCTTTACTCTGTTGGGTATGTTCCACTGTATGAATATAACCACAATCTGTGTATCCATCTCTTGGCTGTCTCTAGGCTTAGTTGCTATGCATATTCTTGAGTCAGTCTTTTTGTAGACATGTTTCATTTCTCTTCAATGAATACTACAAGAGTAAAGCTCATGGGTCCTCTGGTTAACTTCTGACACACAGCTTCTTTTATTTTTACTTATCAAGTTCAAATTACAAACTGTTTGAGCAAATACTCAGTTCTGTGCAAGTCTTCTTAGAACTTTCATGTGAAGGCATGTATAAGTTATATACACATATAAAAATATAAAGTATTATTTTGAGATTTTTATACTACATATGTAGACATCTGCAACTTACTTTTTTTACACATAGTTTGAATGATGCATTTTTGTAAGTACACATTTTATTTTATATTCAAGGGATACATATGCAGGGCTGATACCCAGGTGTGTTGCCTGATGATGAGGTCTGGGCTTCTACTGAGCCTGTCACCTGGGTGGTAAGCACGGTACCCAATGGGTAGCTTTTTAAGCCCTTATCTACCCTTTAGGAGTCCCCAGTGTCTGTTGTTCCCATCTTTATGCCCCGTGTGTACCCAGTGTTGAGTTCCCCTCTAAGTGAGAACATGTGTTTATTTGCTTTTTTTTTTTTTTGAGTTAGAGTCTCACTCTATCACCCAGACTGGAGTGCAGTGGGCGCTCCCAGCCACCGCAGCCTTGACCTGCTGGGCTCCGGCGATCCTTCCACCTCAGCCTTCCGAGTAGCCAGAATTACAGGCATGTGCTACCACGCCCGGCTGATTTTTTAATTTATTGTGGAGATGAGGTCTCGCCAAGTTGCCTAGGCAGGTCTCGAACCCGCGGGCTTAGGCAATCCACTCACCTCAGCCTCCCAAGGCGCGGGATTACAGGCTGAGCCACCGAGTCCGGCTTATTTGCTTTTTGTTTCTGTGTTAATTTGCACAGAATAATGGCCTCTAGCTGTATCCACTTTGCTGCAAAGGACATGATTTCATTCTTCCTTACGGCTGCACAGTATTGCCTGGTGTGTACGTACCACGCCTCCTTTATCCAGTCCCCTACTGATGGGCACCTAGGTTGGTTCCATATTTTTGCCATTGTGAATTGTGCCACAGTAAACATATGTTGGTGGAACAGTTTATGCTCTGTTGGGTATATAGCCCTCCGGCGATCCTTCCGCCTCAGCCTTCTGAGTAGCTGGAATTACAGGCGTGCACTACCACGCCCAGCTAATTTTTGATTTATTGTAGAGATGAGAGTCTCGCCTGCCCAGGCGGGTCTTGAACCGGTGGGCTCAGGCAATCCACTCACCTCAGCCTCCCAAAGGCGTGGGATTACAGGCTGAGCCAGCGAGCCCGGCTCTTTTTTTTTTTTTTTTTTTTTAAAGTTAGAGTCTCACTCTGTCGCCCAGGCTGGAGTGCCGTGGCACACTCATGGCCACTGCAGCCTCGACCTGCTGGGCTCAGGCGATCCTTCTGCTTCAGCCTTCCAGTAGCTGAACTACAGATGCAAGTCACCACACCTGGCTAGTATTTTTGTGATCTATTGTAGAGATGAGGTCTCACCAAGTTGCCCAGGCTGGTCTCGAACCCCCAGACTCAGACAATCCTCTTACCTCAGCCTCCCAAAGTGCTGGGATTACAGGCTGAGCCACCGTGCCTGGCCTATCTGTACTTTGAGATGTCTCCAAACGCTTTCCACAGGGTCTAAACTAGACCAAACAACACTGCATAAGTTCCCCTTTCTTTACAACCTCACCAACGTCTGCTGTTTTTTGCCTTTTTAGTAATAGTCGTTTTGACTGGTGTGAGATGGTATCTTGTGGTTTTGATTTATATTTCTCTGATGACCAGTGACACTAAGCACTTTTTCATATGTTTGTTGGCCACTTGAATGTCTTCCTTTGAGAAGTGTCTGTTCACGTCCTTTGCCAACTTTTTCAAGGGGTTGTTTTTTGCCTGTCGATTCATGTGAGTTCCTTATAGATTCTGGATATTAGGCCTTTGTTGGATGAATAGTTTCCAAGTATTTTCTCCTATTCTGTAGGTTGTCTATTTACTGTGTTGATGGTTTCTTTTGCTGTCCAGAAGCTCTTTAATTTAAGTAGGTCTCACTTGTCAATTTTGGTTTTTGTTGCATTTGCTTTGGAGGACTTGGACATGAATTCATCATCTAGGCCCATGTCCCAAAGAGTGTTCCCTAAGTTTTCTTCTGGGATTTTTTTTTTTGAGTTGGAGTCTCACACTGTTGCCCAGACTGGAGTGCGGTGCCCGCTCCTGGCCACCACAGCCTCACCTGCTGGGCTCCGGCAATCCTTCCGCCTCAACCTTCCAAGTAGCTGCAACTACAGGCACACATTACCATGCCCGGCTAATTTTTTTATTTATTGTAGAGATGAGGTCTCGCCAAGTTGCCCAGGCGGGTATCGAACCCACGGGCTCAGGCAATCCACTCACCTCAGCCTCCCAAAGCGCTGGGATTACAGGCTGAGCCACTGAGCCCGGCCTCTTTTGGGATTTTTATGGTTCAAGGCCTTATGCTTAGGTTATTAATCTACCTTGAGTTAATTTTTGTAGATGATGAGAGGAAGCGGCCCAGCTTCATTCTTCTTACATTGTTAGCCAGTTTTCCCAGCACCATTTATTAAACATAATGTCCTTTCCTCAATGTTTGTTTTCCAAGTCAGAGTCTCACTCTGTCATCCAGGCTAGAGTGCAGTGGCTCACTCCTAGCGACCGCAGCCTCGACCTCTAGGGCTCAGGCAATCCTTCCGCTTCAGCCACCCAAGTAGCTAGAACTACAGGTGCAAGCTACCATGGTTGGCTAATTTTTTTGATTTATTGTAGAGACGAGGTCTCCCCAAGTTTGCCCAGGCTGGTCTGAAACCTTTGGGCTCAGGCAATCCTCTCATCTTGGCCTCCCAAAGCGCTGGGATTATAGGCCTGAGCCACCGTGCCCGGCCCTAGTAAACATTCTTAAAATGCCCCTTGTCACATGTATTTCTTGCAGGATCACAAACTGCATTTATTTAAAATCAAGAGATGCTACCAAATTGTCCTCCAGAGTGCCTGTACCAATTTGCACTTCCATCATCAGTACAGGAGAGTACCTGCCTTCTCTTCACTTTCTCTAGTACTTCATGTTATGAAAATTTTAAGATTACCTCTCCACACTTTTAATTTACATTTCCTTGATTTGTCTCTATATAGCCTATCATTCTCTCTTTATATACAATGCTGCAAATACTTTTCACATTTAAGAGACTTGTCTTTGCTTGTCCATACTGTCTTTTGTCATACACAAGTGGAACTACTGGATCAAATCGATACATAACACCTATATCCCCCCTCAGTTATGTCTGTGAAGTGCCCTTTCCTACATGCCCAACGACAGCTGGTATTATCACTTTTTAACTTTTACCATGTGACAGCTCATTTTTTGTTTGTTTTTTGAGTCAGAGTCTCACTCTGTTGCCTAGGCTGAAGTGCAGTGGCACAATCACGGCTCACCACAGCCCCGACCTACCAAAATGCTGGGATTACAGGCATGAGCCACTGTACCTGGTTGACAACTCACTGTTAACTAATTTCCCCAACGATTATGAAACTGAACATCTTTTCAAAAGTTTACTGGGATTTTGAATTTGTTCATCTATAAACTGCCTATCCAGACCCTTGTCCATTTTTCAATTAGGCTGTCTTTCCAGTAATTTCAAAGAACTTTGTTCATTATATATATTAGTCCTGTATCTGTGTCTGTGTTTGTGTATTTTTTTTTTTAAGAGACAGGGTTTGGGTGTGTTGCCTAGGCTGGGGTGTAGTTGGCATGTTCATAGCTCTTTGCAGTCTCAAATTCCTGGTTTCATGGAATCCTACCATCTTGGCCTCCCAAAGTACTGGGTTTACAAGTGTGAGCTACCACACCCAGTTGTTTTAACGTTCTTTTCTTTTTTTTTTTGAGTTGGAGTCTCACTCGGTTGCCCAGACTGGAGTTCAGTGGCCGCTTCCAGCCACCGCAGCCTCGCCTGCTGGGCTCCAGCAATCCTTCCGCCTCAGCCTTCCAAGTAGCCGGAATTACAGGCATGCCCTACCACGCCTAGATGATTTTTTGATTTATTGTAAAGATGAGATCTCGCTGCCCAGGCAGGTCTCGAACCTGCGGGCTCAGGCAATCCACTCACCTCAGCCTCCCAAAGGCGTGGGATTACAGGCTGAGCCACCGAGCCCAGCTTGAATGAGTTTTAAACTTTATTTTTCTAAGTAGTCCCAGTCACTTTGGAGTTTCAGGCAGCAGGATCACTAGAGCCCAGGAGTTCACCTGCAGTGACCTAGGAACACACCACAACACTCCAGGCTGGACAACAGAGTGAGACTCCTCCCCTCGCTTTTTTTGAGTCAGTCTCACTCTGTTGCCCAGGCTGGAGTGCAGTGGCATGCTTACAACCACCGCAGTCTCAAACTGCTGGGCTCAAGTGATTCTTGCACCTCAGACTTCCAAGTAGATTTATTGTAGAGACGTGGTCTCACCAAATTGCCCAGGTTGGTCTCAAACCTCTGGGCTCAGGCAATCCTCTTGCCTTGGCCTCCCAAAGTGCTGGGATTACAGGTGTGAGCCACCACGCCCAGTAGACTCTGTCTCTTAAAAAAAACTAAAAGATAATGCTCTTCAATGAAGACATTTTAATATAAAATGTTAATTTCTTTTTTGAGTTGGAGTCTTACTCTGTCACCCAGGTTGGAGTGGGGTGACACTCATGGCTCATTGGAGCCTTGACCTCCTGGGCTCAGGCGATCCTTCCATCTCAGCCTCCTGAGTAGCTGTGGCTACAACTGCGGGCCACCACGCCTGGCTAATTTGTGCATATTTATAGGGTACATGAGAACATTTGCTAAACATATACAATGTGTAGCAATCAAGTCAGGGTATTCAGGGTGACATCACCAGAGCACAATACGTTTGTTAAGTCTAGTCATTCTACTCTGTATCAAACATTACATTTATTCCTTTTACCTTACTGTGTACGCTTGTAACCCACTTCTCTTCATTACCCTACATCCTTCCCAGTCTCTGTTATCTATTACTCCACTCTCTACCTCCATGTGATCACATTTTTTTAGCTCCCAGATGTGAGAAAATGTAGTATTTGTCTTTCTGTGCCCTGCTTGCTTCACATAAGATAATAACCTCCAGTTCCACCCAAGTTGCTGCAAATGATATGAACACACTGTTTTTTATGTCTGAATAGTACTCCATTGTGTATATATACCACATTTTCTGTATCCATTCATCTGTTGATGTCTCTTAAGTTGATTCCATATCTTAGTTAGGATGAGTGAATATTACTGCAATAAACATGCCAGTGCAAGGCTGGGCAGACAGTGGCTCACACCTGTAATGTGTACTTTGAGAGGCCAAGGCAGGACTGCTTGAGGGCAGAAGTTCGAGACCAGCCTGGGCAACATAGTGAGACTCCATCTCTACTCAAATAAAAAATATACACGTATTTAAAAAACATGCCAGCGCAAGTATCCCCCCTCGATATGTTTTCCTTTGAGTAGATACTCACTACTGGGACTGCTGGATCAAGTGGTAATTCTATTTTTAATTTTTAAAGAAATCTCCATAGTTTTCCAAAGTGGTTGTCCCACTTATTTTTAAATTTACAGTTTTACTTGTTAAACTTTTTTAATTAAAAACTATGATAGAAACACACACAACAGCTGAGGTCTACACAGGGTCAGAATCATCAATTATCACTGTCTTTCACCTCCATGTCTTGTTCCACTGGAAGGTCTTCAGGGGCAAAAACATGCATGGAGCTGTCATCTCCTGTGGCAACAGTGCCTTCCTCAGAACACCTCCTGAAGGACATGCCTGAGGCTGTTTTACAGTTAACTTTTTTTTTTTTTTTGAGTTGTAGTCTCACTCTGTCACCCAGACTGGAGTGCAGTGGCCACTCCTGGTCACCACAGCCTCCACCTGCTGGGCTCTGGTAATCCTTCCGCCTCAGCCTTCCAAGTAGCCAGAATTACAGGCATGCGCTACCACACCTGGCTGATTTTTTGATTTTATTGTAGAGACGAGGTCTCGCTGCCCAGGTGGGTCTCGAACCCTCAGGCTCAGGCAATCCAATCACCTCAGCCTCCCAAAGGCTCAGGATTACAGGCTGAGCCACCTAGCCCGGCCAGTTAACTTTTTTTATAAGTAGGAGGAGTATACTCTAAAATATAAAAGAATAGTAAACATATAAACCAGTAAAATAGTCATCTAAGCTTTATCATGATCAAGTATCATGTACTATAATTGCACGTGCTATACTTTGACACGATCAGCATCAGCCCTAATGTGAGGGATGTGTTGCACTATGACATTACAAAGGAATTTCTCTCAGCTCCACTGTAATCCTATGGGACCACTGCCATATCCACAATCCATCATGACTTAGACGTCATCATGCAGTGCGTGACTGTACACAATTCCAATTAACATCTGGTTATGGCATTTTTTTTTGAGTCAGAGTGAGGCTCTGCTGTTCTGGCTAGAGTGCAGTGGCACGATCAGGGCGCACTGCAACCTCAACCTCCTGGGCTCAGGAGATCCTTCCATCTCAGCTTCCCGAGTAGCTGGGACTATGGGCGCATACCCCCATGCCCGGCTAATTTTCAGCATTTTGGAGAGATGAGGTCTTGCTATGTAGTCCAGGCTGGCCTCAAACACCTAAGCCCTAGCAACTCTCCCACTTTGGCCTCTCAAAGTATTGGGATTACAGACGTGAGACACTGTACCTGGCTGACATCTGGTTATGTTTTAAGATTTGTAAAAACATTATTCATTCTGACAGTATGATTTTACTACCTACCTGTTTTTCATTAACCTTATTTCTCTCTTCAATTGAGGGTCATCTGTCTTAGTTGTCTGAGAGGTGAGAGTCACAGGAGATGTCATCACCACAGTTTGTGGCAGAGAAGTAGCTGAAGGTGTGGTTCGGATCTGATATGTCTGCATGTCTCCCGATGCAGCTGGGTGGTCAACAGAGTGAGTTAGTTGATAAGTGTCTCTGAAAGTACTTTGGGACACTTTCTATAGAAAGGAAAGAATACTTACTCTGTACAACCACCTGATTGCTGGGCACGAGTATTTGCTGTCCATCAGAGGTCTGTGCATACTGGAGAATAGTTGTACCTTGCTGAGTACTGCCTGAATTGGTCATAGTTAATGTCTGAAGACCCTGTACTCCATCTGCGCCTGGACTGGCCAACTGTAAGGCTCCATTCGGGGCAATGGCAACTTTAATCAAAGAGAGAAAATAGGTACTGTAAGGCTATACAATAAACTAATTCAAAAAGTGACAAAAAACTATAAACGCTATTCAAATAGGTCTGAACATAGGTCTACTTAATAACCATTGACTACTTTTGGTCAACCATATGTAAAAGAAGTAAACAGCATGTGTTTATACAATTTTATAACTTAGACACACTACCTTCAATTTAGTCTCAAAATGGACAATATAAATGATAAATGTGTCAAAAATAGCACATTTGGATGCCAAATGTCATCACAGCAATTCTGGGGTATTAGGAGGGCACTGTTAGGTAGCTTTAAACAAAAAAAATAGCCGGGCTTGGTGGCTCAGCCTGTAATCCCAGCACTTTGGGAGGCTGAGGTGAGTGGATTGCCTGAGCCCGCGGGTTTGAGACCCGCCGAGGCAACTTGGCAAGACCTCATCTCTACAATAAATCAAAAATTAGCCGGGCGTGGTAGCGTGCGCCTGTAGTTCCAGCTATTTGGAAGGCTGAGGCGGAAGGATCGCCAGAGTCCAGCAGGTCAAGGATGCAGTGACCGGGAGCGGCCACTGCACTCCATCCAGTCTGGGTGACAGAGTGAAACTCCAACTCAAAAAAAAAAAAAATAAAAATAATAAAAATAAAAAGAGGGAAACATAAACATTGCACTGTTTATTCAAAAGCATTAAAAAATTATAACTTAAATATTTTTAAATACATACTGGTACCTATGGAAAAAGTTCAAATAGAAAAAAAGGTTATATAATGGGAAAATAAGTCTTTTTCATACTTCCACTTTCTATGGGCACCACTATTAAATGCTATTTATTTAAGGGATATTTAAGAAATGTCACTTCTTCACTCATTTCCTAGTAAAACAATCACCAACAAAGCTGTCACCAGAAGCTACCATAGAGATCACTTAGCTCTGTACATTTTTACACTGAATTATACTGTTTTGACCTCTCTGGTAAATGAAATGCCCATGAGGCATAACCCAATGGAAAACATCCGAGACTTTTACAATTTCCCCATGTAATACATCCCCTTCAGAACTTAATGCCTCACCTGTGTACCCTTTTTTCAGATTACAGTTATGCAACCTTTTCTTTTAAACTTTGGCTACCAGGAAGCCAAAAATACATGTATATGTGTGTTTTAATTAAAAAATAAAATTTTTAGGCTGAGCGCGGTGGCTCAAGCCTGCAATCCCAGCACTTTGGGAGGCTGAGGCGAGGATTGCCTGAGTCCAGGGGTTCAAAACCAGCTTGGGCAACTTGATGAGACCTCTTCTCTATAATAAATCAAAAGATTAAAGCTGGGTGCAGTGGCTCATGCCTATAATCTCAGCACTTTGGAAGCAAAGGTGAGAGGATTGCCTGAACTCACAGGATTGTCTGAACTCACAGGTTTGGTCAATCTGACGGGACCTCATCTCTACAATAAGATAAAAAAATTAGCTGGGCATGGTGGCGCGTGCCTGTAGTTACAGTTGCTTGGAAGGTTGAGGTGGAAGGATCACCTGAGCCCAGTAGGTTGAGGCTGCGGTGGCCGTGAGTGAGCCACCACACTCCAGACTGAGCAACACAATGAGACTCCAACTCAAAAAAAAATTAACAGGGTGTGGTGGTTTGTGCCTGTTGTTCCAGCTTCTTGGAAGGCTGAGGCGAAAGGATCACCTGAACCCAGCAGGTTGAGGCTGCGGTGGTCGTCAGTTTGCCACTGCACTCAAGCCTGGGTGACAGTGAGGCTCTGAGACTCAAAAATAAAAAAATTAAAAATAAAAAAAATTGAACTTGAAAATATAAAGAGGATTAATTCATTACTTTGTTAGTTTTGCTAAATATAATTTTAATAAACCAACAGACCTCATTTACCAATTTATTAGGAAAAAAAACTAAGTGTTAACCTAAACACAGGTTACTAATCTATAGACTGCTGTTGAACATTAGTGAGGATATATGCATTTCTACTTGTGGTAGGCATTTCATTTTCTATCACTCTGTCTCCTGACTATAAGTTTTCCTCTCAAAAGCCATAATTGGTTCCTTTATAACTTTACTTAGCTTGCAGATGGGATTCTATATACCAGTAGATGGTCATTCTCTTTTTGTAATTCTTTTTTTTTGTGAGTCAGGGTCTCACTCTGTTGCCCAGGCTGGAGTACAATAGCACCATCATAGCTCACCATAGCCTCAACTCCCTGGGCACAGGTGATCCTTCCACCTCAGTCTCCCGAGTAGACAGAGGTGGAAGGATCACCTGAGCTCAGAGGGTTGAGGCGATGGTAAGCTGCCATAATGCCTGGCTAATTTTTTTATTTTTTGTAGAGATATCTCCTTATGTTGCCCATGCTGATCTCAACTTCTGGGCTCAAGCAATCCTCCCTCCTTGGCCTCCGAATGGGCTGGGATTATAGGCATGAGCCACCATACCTGGCCAAGATACTCATGTTGTTCTATGTACTGACTCATCTTTTTAACAACACTTTTAGAGTAGAGATTTAGTGATGTATTAAAGTTGATCAGTTCCTGATTATTTATGGTGGGGATGCTGTAAGTCACATTATAAAACGGTATGAATTCTCTTTCTTTCTAAGCCAAACTTTCTTTCTTTTTTTTTTGAGTTGGAGTCTCACTCTGTCACCCAGACTGGAGTGCAGTGGCTGCTCCTGGCCACCGCAGCCTTGACCTGCTGGGCTCCGGCGATCCTTCCGCCTCAGGCTTCCAAGTAGCTGGAAGTACAGGCACGCGCTACCATGCCCAGCTCATTTTTGATTTATTGAAGAGATGAGGTCTCGCCAAGTTACCCAGGCGGGTCTCGAACCCGTGGGCTCAGGCAGTCCACTCACCTCAGGCTCCCAAAGGCACGGGATTACAGGCTGAGCCACCGAGCCCGGCTTAAGCCAAACTTTCTTAACCTCAAACTGAAAATTCAACATGCATGATTAATCTTTCATTATATAATTAACCCAAATAGTAATTTACACTGGAATTAAGGTGATGAACATAATTGAATAGTGTCCAAAAGAGAGGTTTACCTCAATTCCCTCATAACTTGATAACTGCCTACTTCACAAAATTGTAGAGAGTAAATGAGCTAATGCTGGAAAAATACTTTGTGTTATTCCTGGCTCCACACGTTACCCTAGACAATCATCGCTACTGAAGTATGACACACGAGAGTCTTTCAAACATGACTTCTCTCCATGGAAAAGTCTGTTGTGCGTGTCTATCATGCAGAACGACTCCTGTACATACTGTACTGTCCGCTGCTGGTCTGATAGATGGGAGTCGGAACAGACATAGACGTGACGGCAGAAACTCCAGGGCTTTCCCCGTCTCCTTTTCTGACCCGTGTATCTTCAGAAGACAGGTCTTTCAAAATTTTTCTGTAAAAAAGCAGAACTGTCTTAATGCTGGCAATGTGAATGACCTACAAAAATAAGTGGCTAAACATTTTTCAATTTCAGGTTAAAACTGCAATATTTTACTAGGCACAAACTCTTGTTCCAAAGAATTCTTTTGCTTGGCACTATTACAATGATGTGCTCTAGGCTGGTGACATGTTTGTTCATGACTACCTGAAAAAAGACACTGATACACTGAACAAATACAGATTGCCTTTCTATGTACAGGCCCTAGTAGGGGCAAAAAATGCATCTTTCCCTCATAGGAGAGATGGCTCTGTTGTGGGATAGTTTTAATTAACAAGATACTATTCATTTTCTAAACAGTGTCAGTGACATTAAGAACAGGTTTCAGAAAGAAGCATTAGAAATACTACTATAAAATGTAGAGCACAATGATAAATAAAATTGCTTATTTTAATAAAAAGAGGTAAATATGATCCCTCAGACTTGGTGAAATGGGACTATAACAGAAATAAGGGATGGAGAAGTTTTCCTTGCTGAAAAGGTCTTCCAAAGGACAATTAGGATAAAGGAAAAAAGTAAGCAATATGTATTATCTGTTTCAGGGAGGAAAAAATAAATAATTACTTAAGAATTCCACGTACAAAGCCAGGTGTAGTGGCTCACACCTGTAATCCCAGCACTTTGGGAGGCTGAGGCAGGAGGATTGCCTGAGGTCAGGAGTTTTAGACCAGCTTGGACAACACAGATCCCATCTCTACAAAAAAATTTAAAAATAGTTGAGTGTGATGGTACATGCCTGTGGTCCTAGCAACTCAGAAGGCTGAAGCAGGAGGATAGCTTGAGCTCAAGAGCTTGAGGCTGCAATGAACTATGTATGATCTTATCACTTCACTCCTATCTGAGAGAGAACTTGTCTCAAAAAAGGGGGGGGGGGAGTTGTACGTGGTGGCTCAAGCTGTAATCCCTTTGGAAGGCAGAGGAGAGATGACTGCCTGAGCCCAGGAGTTCAAGACCGGCTTAGGCAACATGGTGAGACCCAGCAGGTCATGGCTGTGATCATGCCACTGCACTCCAACCTGGGCGACAGAGTGAGAATCCAACTCAAAAAAAAAAAAAAGGAATTCCACATTCATTTGTAGAAAAATCAGAAAACTGAGATATTTGTGTGAAAGCAACAGAAAAAAAGAATCACAAAGGGAAAAAAATCATTAGACTTAAAAGGTTCCTTCAAGTTATCTATGCCAATCTCCCAGGTCAGGGAGGAATGCCCTCCCTAACATTCCTCACAACCTGTACTTCCCAGAATCAGGCACCCAACCCATTACTGGAACAACTAGAGCCCTTCCCTCTTTGGGTCCAAAGCAGGCTCCACCCAGTGAAGGTAAAGAAATGGAAGTCTGGCCAGGTGTGGCTCACGCCTATAATCCCAGCACATCCGGAGGCCAAGGTGAGAGGATTGCCATGGGTTTGAGACCAGTCTGGGCAACATGAAGAGACCTCATCTCTACAATACATCAACAAATTAGCCAGGCATGGTGGCGCGAGCCTGTAGTTCCAGCTACTTGGAAGGCTGAGGAGGAAGGATTGCCTGAGCCCAGAAGGCCAAGGCTGTGGTGGCCGTGAGCATGCCACTGCCCTCCAGCCTGGGGGACAGAGTGAGATTCCGACTCAAAAAGAAATGTAGCCTACTCCCAACTCTACATCCATGTCCTCCTCTGCAGTGCTTATTCCAGGTCAGACGCTTTCAGAGCCTGCATGCGTTCCTCCGGAATGCACTGATGGTCCTTCTCCAGTTAGGCCTCCTTTCTCAGGACAGTCTTCCTGCCAAGGGCTAATGCAACCACAGATTATATTAACAGAAGTTCCACAGAGGCCAAGGGAGGCACAGTCCTATTTGCTTCAGGTGTGTGTGTAGTCCTGGTGGTTCCTAAACCTACTTGGTATCAGAATCATCTGGAGAGAACTTCTGGATTCAGATTCCCGTCTGATGCCCCTCATGACTGAGGGGCAAAGCTCTGGAATCCACTGAGCAACAGCCCACAGTGTTATGCAGCCAGAGACTGTGGTGTGCTGGGCCCATTTCTTTTTCAATTTTCAATTATGAAACATTTTGAGCATAAAGAAAAGTACAGAAAATAAAACACCTACATACTAGAACAACCAGGCAAGAAATAAAGGGTATCCAAAGTCCAGTGTGGTGACTCACACCTGAAATCCCAGCATTTTGGGAGGCGAAGGCGAGAGGATTGTAGTACAATCCTTATCAAACTACCAACATCATGTTTTACAGAATTAGAAAAACAATTCTAAAATTCATATGGAACCAAAGAAGAGCCAGAATAGCTAAAGCAATCTTAAGCAGAAAGAACAGAGCTGGAGGGATCACATGACCTGACTACAAGGATGTAGAACCAAAACAGCATGGTACTGGTACAACAGTAAACACAAGGATCAATGGAACAGAATAGAGAATCTATAAATACACCCAAATACCTACAACCAACTTGTCTTTGACAAAGCAGACAAAAACACACATTAAGGAAAGGACACCCTATTTCCACAAATGGTGCTAGGAAAATTGGATAGTTACATGTAGAAAAATCTAATGTTAGCTGTCCTTGCACCCCTGGCAGTCTTTCCACTTTAGTAAACATCAACTCCAGGCTGGGCATGGAGGCTCACGCCTATAATCCCAGCACTTTAGGAGGCCATGGTTGGGGATTGCCTGAGCACACTGGTTCAAGATCAGCCTGGGCAACTTGGCAAGACCTCATCTCTACAATAAATTTTTTAAAAATTAGCTGGGCGTAGTGTGGTTGGCACATGCCTATAGTTCCAGTTACTTGAAAGGCTGAGGCAGAAGGATCACCTGAGCCCAGCAGGTTGAGGCTGTGGTGGCCAAGAGCATGCCACTGCCCTCTAGCCTAGTCGACAAAGTGAGACTCTAACTCAAACAAACAAACAAACAAAAATCAACTCTATTCTTCCTTTTTAAAAAAAAAAATAACTCTGTACCCGAGGCTGGAGCACAGTGGTATGATCACAGCTCACGTCAGCCTCAACCTCCTAGCTCAGGCGATCCTTCCACCTCAGCCTCCCAAGTAGCTGGGACTACAGGTGTGCGTGTCTGGATGATTTTTTTTTGTAGAGATGAGGTCTCGTTATGTTGCCTAGGACACTCTCAAACTCCTGGGCCCAAGTGATTCTCTTACCTTGGCTTCCCAAAGCTCTGGTATTACAAATGTGAATTACCACGCTCAGCTTCTTCCAGTTTCAACTAAACATTTTAAAGTCATTCTTTTTCTTTTTTATAACCTGTATCCAATTCATAAGCAAATCCTTGTCTCTACCTTAAAAAAAAAACCCAGACTGGGTGGGAACAGTGGCTCATACCTGTAATCTCAACACTTTGGAAGGCCGAGGCAAGAGGGTAAATAAAATAAAAAAATTATCTGGGCATGGTGGCACACGACTGCAGTTCCAGTTCTGGAGACTGAGGTGGAAGACTGCCTGAGCTTAGAAAGTCAAGGCTGCAGTGAGCTGTTATCATGCCACTGTACTCTTGCCTGAGTGACACAGTGAGGCTCTGACTCAAAATAACCCAGATCGTGCACCCTCATCACCTCCACCTCTGCAGTCCAGGCCATCCCCACCTCTTGAATGGACAGTCCCAGGAGCCTCTGTGGTCTCTCTGGTCTACTCTTGCCTTGTAGCAGTCTATTCTCCACACAGCAATCAGTCCTCTTTCTAAAACGTCAGTCACATCATGCCATTCATCTGCATGGTTCCCTGTCTCTCTAAGGTGACTGCAATGCCCTACAAGGCCATGACCTGTCCTTCCTGCCTCCCTAACCTCATCTACTATCTACTCTCTCTCTGTCACCTCCTTCTGTCTTCCTGGGGGATTATCAGTTTTATTGACTTTTTTTCTCCCAAGAATCAGCTTTGAGTTATATTAGCTTTCTCTTTTCCATTTCATTGATGTCTACTCTTTATTATTTCCTTTCTTCTGCTTGCTTTGGGCTTATTTTACTTTTTCCCCTAAGTTTCTTTTTCTTTTTTTGAGTTGGAGTCTGACTCTGTCACCCAGGCTGGAGTGCAGTGGCACGCTCACAACCACCATAGCCTCAACCTGCTGGGCTCAGGCGATTCTTCTGCCTCAGCCTTCCAAGTAGCTGGAAACAGGCGTGTGCCATCTGGTTAATTTTTTTTATTTATTGTAGAGATGAGGTCTCACAAGTTGCCCAGGCTGGTCTTGAACGCGTAGGCTCAGGCAATCCTCTCACCTCGGCCTCCTAAAGTGCTAGGATTAAGCCAGGCTCGGTGGCTCAGCCTGTAATCCCACGCCTTTGGGAGGCCGAGGTGAGGGGAT